ACTAGGTTAGATTTACTTTTCCATATAAATTAACTAATTTTTCTTAAATTGTGTGAGATAAAAATCAAAACTATCAAAGTGGAATGAAAGGAGTATAATTTTATTGTAAACAAATTTTTTCAATTAATTTTTTTGAAGAAATAAAATTTCAATATCAGGGTAGCAAATTTTCATTCTAAGAGTCCAAACCTCAAATCTTATTAATTACTTGCATCAATATCTAAAGTTATCAACCAACCACAAACTTGAGTACACGTATATCTCTATACGGGACAATTTACCTATACAACACTAGCCATTAGGCCAGTTAACAGGTCGGATTCGAGTCGAAATTGAAAATTTTGGACCAACTCATTCTAATGTACTAAACTCGGGCCCGACCCGTATATCCGATTGGTCTTGCACTTAAGATTTCGGAACCTGGTCCAACGGTCCTAGGTTGGATCCGGGTCTATCCGGAAAGAAAATGCCCAACATGTATTATTTATTTTCTTTTGTCCATGTTAGCAAAAAGGTCTAACATGATCTCAGGATATTTAGCGAAAATCACTTATATGCAATTTGTGATAAATATATTTCTGGTCAAACAAGTTTGCCTCTTCTAAATCCTAATGTTTTAGATGCTTCATGTGGGATACAGGTAATTTGGTAAAAGAAATTTTTGTTAATTTAGTAAAAGAATGTATTTAGAAATATTTATATTTCATAATTATTAATATATTGTTTGAGTCCAAATCGGATACGGATCGAAATCCTATATTCTGTATCCAACCCACTTTTTTGTTAGAGTAAATGGATATGAGTCCGAATCCGAGTCCGGGTATCAAAATTATTTCTCAACCCATACCTAAAAAAAATTACCGAATCCAAGTCCAAACCCGACCCGTTGACAGCCCTACCAGCCACCCCAAGTGATCATTATAGTTGAGGTTTTTTCCCCCATTTTCACTGTGCTCCAGAATAGAATAAGAAGTAGAAAATCAAAACCTTTCTTCTACGCTGAAAAGCCAGGACCAAAGGGTTTGTGCAGTGTGTTGTGGAGATATGTTTGTCATTATTAGGAATTAGGAAATAGATGTACCTCAAAAAAAATGGATTACTTTTAGAAGGAGTCATTATCACGATGAAACGATCAATCGTCATTCTTATCTCAAACTTTATGCATCTCTTTGGGCACAAAATTGCTTTACGAACAGAAACTGAGTAGCAGTACTTCAAAAACCATCACCAAGTCAAATTCACCCCAAGGAATTTGTTTTTTGGGAACATTATTATTTTGTCTTTATGTGCATAAATTTCCTGCAAGAAGTTGAAGAGAGACTCCTCTCTACTTGGGGTAACAAATTATACTTAAAAATTTCTACTATAATTCTCCAAAAAAAAGAAAAGAAAAGAAAACGCATTAGATTGTAATCCCCATCCAACTCGACCTACCCCTCCTTGCCACCTGGGACTATTACACAAAAAAAGCAAGGAAGATGTATAGGCAGTTAGGCAGTAGGAATAATTTCCCTGGCTTCGAAACGACAAAAGAAGATAAAATCTCCTTTTTCTTGTTGATTATAGCATAATAAAAGAAGCTTAATCTTGTTTATGCAGTCAAAAAATTTTGGTTATCTCCTGTCCACACTTTCTGCCGTAACCAATGATTGAGGTGGCAAAAATCGTCTGGTTCGATTATGTCTAAAGTAGTGTCATTAAGTATAAAATTATGAGAGGGGCTAGCCGTTTTTGAATGTGATCTGTGATTCCTCTGAACACGATCTAGAAATGATTACAGTTTGGGGAAAAGGGAAGAAAGAAAAAGGAAAGGAGAACCAAAAAGCAACGAAGCACTAAATATTTCTTTTTGGCCGGGGGGGGGTTTATTAATTAATGCTCTAAAGTAAAGCATTATGTAACGTACTTTTGAAAGGTAACGCAACTTTTTCCGCTTTGCTTTTTTGCTGTATAGACTAGCCAAGACAAGCTTCTACACTTGGTAACTTTTTTTTTTTTTCCTTCTTTCTTTAAATTTTGAGTTTTTTTATCAGTACTAGTAGCATGATGCTGGTGGTTTTCACGAAAGATTTGGGCATGGAGACAAAGTTTCCACACATAAAATCTTTTGCAGACTTTCTTTAAGAAAAGGGAAAGAAAGATGAGAGAAGTAGGTCTCTCTTCTCTTTTATATATGGTCACAATCTACCTAAAGCTTTTCTCTTGCTTTCTGATACAACTTACAGGCGATTTTGCATGAAAGTAAGGGAAGTCTCGGATCTGAAGCTCTCTTCCCCATCTATTTATCATTGAGTGAATAATACTACTGATAGAATCTCTTTATTTCTCTTTTACAACACCATCTTTTTTTTTTCCCTTTCTTTTTCTGTTTCGTATGATGAATGCCTTGGATCCCTCAACCATCAGAAGCTCGTTAAAGATTCATGCACAAGCAAGCATATACACGAATAAAGAGGGCTTATTTTGCCCATATGCATCTGGTGGATCGTTCAAAAATCAAAATATGCGCAGCTAGAATGGGCAGTGGATAGACTTGGTCAAAAAGAGGCTTCTGCCTCTTAGCATAAAAGTTGACGAGAATGTTTTTTGGTTTGGGTGTTAAAATAGGATATTTGGATGTGGTACCATAAGGGGGTATTATGCTGTTTCCAATGATTGTTTAGTCATTGTTTTTGCTCAGAGGAGAAAGAGTGGGAGCATGTGAATACAGAGAACTTACCAGTACAAGAAGCTGGGGTGTCAAATCCCATGCACCATACTATTATTATTATTATTACGTTTACTCTCTGCTTCTCGTGCGTGCTGATGTCTTCCAATCTAATCTAGGATTACCAGTTGTTCTCAAGATACACATATCTGCTAATAATTTAAGGTTCCATCCAAATTGACAATATATAATTAAGGCCCGCTTAAGGTTGAGAAAGAGAAGAAGAAGAAGATCATGGATATAATTTTCAAAATGGTACTACTAGAAGTTAACTTATCAAAATATGATACTATCCAACAATTTGCAAAAACAAATTTTGTGAAAAAGAAAAAAGAATTCTCTACTTTCCTTTTAGAATCTTACTAATAAACAGGCAAACACCATCTATTGACTTCAGTGACACTGCATTTCCTACATTTTCATGAGTAGTACTTCAATTTTCTTCAATGCCAAGTTTAACCGGAGGATGATGATCTCCTCCAAGACCTACAAGTTCACAACCCCCATGGGATAATTAATCTTCTCTTCGTGCTGTTGAACATCTAGCTGGTTCGATAGTAAATTATCTCAAATAATATTTTGCTTGTATCATAAATACATTTTCCAACCCACCTTTTTATTTTTCATACATCGCATTACAAAAAGTGCTACAGTAATTATTCCAAATAATATTTCAAACAATACACTATCCAAGCAAACTTGCACTCCCACAATTTGTTTTATCTTGTAATTTAATAAATTTTTTATTAATCTTTTTTACACTGACATTGTAGACACTGTCAGCATTGGATGAATGACAAATATACAAATTTTGAATTTAAAATTCAATTTTTGCACATATTTCATAGATCTAATGGTGATAGTGTATACACTGTCAATATATATAAGATTTTCTTTTTTTTTTAACGGGTGCACATTGAACACTCATCAACATACTTAACATTCACCTAACCTACCATACATATACACACGCTAATAATTATTATCCTCCCTTGCATCTATATATATTTTTGTTTAATTATACCTACCTTCTCTTGTATTTATTTACTTTCTCTAATTAATCTTACATTTTTAAAAATATGACACCTAAAATATATTTTAATAACTATTCTATGGGTACCCGTTAGACAGACCCTAATTTAATAATTGAAAACTATATGATTAAAATGATTGTGGGAGTGTGATTAATAAAAACGGAAGTGCAGATGACACTTCCCTAAAAAAGTGTCCTTGCAAGCTACTAATGTTTTGTTATTTCAGTTAGTTTTAAAACGAACCTAAGACACCATATATAATTTCCACAAGGTGCTTCAGTTGACAATAAAATACTAAAACACTTGTATGTAGGACTCAAACTAGATTTCTCCAAATTATAATTACTTTTGTCCGTGTATAGTAGTGAAACTTTCCTCTGGTTCCAAGCAAGCTCGGCCCCAATAGGGCTTTTTGCTTAAAGTTCATCACGTTCCTTTATAATGTTTATCTGCCGTTGCAACAGAGATGAATTTGAAGTATTTTGAACCGACCGACAAAAAAAGATAAAAAAGAAGAAGTCGAAATTAAGTATTTTCAGGTCCTTGAAGGAAACTGGAGAACTCACAATCGTAGGCCAAATTTGAACATATATTTTTGTAGTTCCTAATTCCTATATCGTGTTAAGCTTCCTTTTTCCTTTACGGGTTCTCTCTTTATTTTGTTATTATTTTTTTAAAAATCTACTTCTGCCTGTACCGTTTCACCGAAAACGGAGTAGCGAAGGTGAGCATCAGAGAAGGCCCAAGAAATAATGGCCCAATACAGAATAGCGGATCTATATGGACCTTCCGCATCCCTCTAAAAAATGTCCAGTGTAAAATGTCGACTACGGCTTGCCAGAACAAAATAAATCAAAATTGCGGGCCCAAATTGTTTTCAGTAGAATTCAGGAAGTGCTATAGCCCTCCTTTTGACGGAAAAAAAATTATTGTAGAATCCATGAAGTATAAGTGATCATTTCTTCAACAATTAACCTTTATTTTCTGGCAGAAAATGGAAAAACTTCATTGCCTTACAAAATTGGTTGTTTCATAAGCTTTTCAGAGACACTCAGGTGCGTTTAATAAAACTGAAATTTGAAATTTGAATCCATTAAATTATTAAATTGTTAAATATTAAATCCAATACATCTGAATGTATATCACATTCAATGATAAATGAATAAATTACCATTTTATTTTTAGAGCAAATTTTGCCTAACTAATTCAAATGTTCAATTTTTTGTTATCAAACGTGTCTAAACATATTAAGATATGAATTTATTAAATTTAAGTGCTGAATTAAGTTATCAAACACGATTAAACCTGGGATCCAATTACAAATTCATCTTAACTAAGTTCAACTCAGAACCCCAAACTATTACAAGTCCATGTCAGCTGACCCTTAATTCCAAAATATTTGCAAGTTTTAGTTACAATACAACATACCAATTGTTTTAAGATAGTAACCAAAGCTTTATACGCGCGCGCGCATACACTTTGAGTAGTTGTCAATTGCTTGGATCCTTGCCAAACCGCATCAGACAATGAGTAACCAACATTGAGGCCCGGCGAGTCATTGCTGCCAGCCGCCCGACCAGTGGCAGCCGAACCGTCTCACTGTTCCATAGGGGCTTCTGATCCCACCTGCAATCCACATTTCACATGAAAATGTCCCGAGTAACCGGGGATAATCACCGGTAGTGGTAGAACTAATAGCTGTTGAATGAGACATGAAACTACAAACAAATTCACAATGACGACAACTCTGTTATACCAAATGGAATCATCCAGTTTACCAAGAAAAAATCATGTTTGAAACAACCCTGTTATCAAGTCTAAAATCTGTGGACAATCATCATATCATTAGCTATCTCAAATTATATTTACAGTGAAAGACATTCAGATTACATTGATGTTGTTAGAGTTTTTGTGAGAAGAGTATGAGTCTGAAGCATAAGTAGATAAAACTGATTCATTATGATAATTAGAAAGAAATGAAAAGAAAAGATAAGAGAGTTCGGGAAAGTGCATTAAGGTTACAACAGTAAACTTTGTCTGAGAAAACTTCCTTGTGGTAATCAACATCCATAGTTTAGTTAACTTGACAGAGACCAACTCCCATCACTCTTTGAATTTCCTTCCCCATGAAGATCATAAAGATTGCAGTTACGCATCAAAGACAAGCTAAAAGAGTAGATGCATACCAATCTTCATGTCGAACGATCTTCCCGTTCTCTATCTGCAATTTGATAAGGGATATCATATGTATATCTTTCCCCAGAAATTTGTAATACTGCTTGTTGTCCATGAGTACCTGAATCAATTACAAATATCAGAATTGTTAATCTGACAAACTATATTTTCTTTAAATGTCATGTAGGCAAGAAGCTGAGTGGACCTCCTTCTTTCTAGGTGAAATTACATTCTCTTTGATGCTATATTCTGTGATTCTTGACTCACTGAAAACCTGAAAGTATATATGAGGTTAATATCCAGATATATTCTATAACAAACAATGGGAAACAAGAGTCGACAAAACAGACTAGTCAATGAATTTCATCAACACGTGTATAGAAAGTGACTTTGAAAGCGATGATTAGAAACTACAAAAGCCACTTTTACCTCTCATCTACATTTTATTGGGTTTATTAACACTGATGAACTGACAAGACAGAGAAAAGAGGGATAAATAGCAAATTTCTCTGCCAAGCATTGTAACTTCCTCATTTTCTTTCTCATGCTATTACTTCTTCGTCGCGTTCCTTTTCGTTTACATGTTTTATGCCAGAAAATTGGTTGGAATAGGAGCATACCATGGATGGGTAATGATATAAAAACCACAAACCAAAAGAATTAAGAAAAATAATAAATTTTTGAGCAAGTAAACAGAAAGATGCAGTGAACTGGACCCAGCCCACAGGACACTCATGCAATGCACAGTTCAATTGTAAACAAGGTAGGATAGATGATGTGCTTTAAATTACATTCTAAAATCTGATGACTTCACCCACTTAAATTGAACACAGTTAAAGAAGCAGCATTGCTTGCCATCCTCCAACATTAATATATTTGAAGAGCAAACCAACTACAGGTGAAAACAAAAATCCAACGCATCTATGACTCAAAAAAATTGTTCAGAAATATCTCAAATCATTTGACAAGCTTTTTAGCACATTAATACTAGAAGTACCCTGCAACTTACAATTATATGGAATTATCAATAGAAAGGAAGTCAGGAAAACCTTGGGAATTGAGTAGAAAGCTGACTTAATCTGCTTTATCCTGCAACATTTGTTGAATTCACATGAGAGAAAACCATGGTCATAAACATCATTATGCAAGCTTACACCCGAGAAAGCCGTTCGAAAGTGGCCTCACAGAGGCACCCCTTTTTGTTCCAATACAATAAGTGAATACAAGATCTGACAAAAAATATACTTTAGAAAATAAGAAACATTACTATGTTTACCTGATAACTTGCCACTATAACTGGTTCTTTTTCTCCTTTGATTATTTTCTTCATCGCACTTCATCCTTTTTGTTTGCATTTGCTTTTCTCCACATTTTTTAATCTAATATCCATTCTCCAGTCTATCTTACTAACCCCTTACATGTTCTCTCATTTCGTAATTATGCTCTAACCTGAAGTTAAGGTGGCTACAAGATGACAGGTTGTACTAGGATTAGAATTGCTACCATCTAACACAGCTTCAGCTTTGATTCTCAATCTCAGACTAGTGTAAGTAGATAGATCCAAAAAGGGCCAAGGTTTTCATCAAGCTTCAGGGTGGCAACCCACTAATACCTAAAGTTCTCTAGTCTCGATGTGCACTTCCTTTTTCATATATACCATTGACTTGAGGCAAACATAAGCTTAGAAGATATCATTTGATCAATTAAAAAATTTAGCAGGATGTGCTTTTTGGATACGAATATGAAACGCAACAAATTAGGTATGTAGAATTACTGTAAACTTGATTCCCATAAACCAATTTCTAGAAAGTCCAATATAAGCAAAAAATATTTGGTAAGTGGAACATTGAAGAGACTAGTCATTATGAGGATTGTGAGGCATAATGTCCTATTCTTCTGCGTGACAAATTGCTTGAGTTGCTGTTAAAAAGCTTACCCTTGAGCTCGCATCAGCGGGTCTTCAAAGGTTGCATCAGGAGCATAGATATCAAAATCTTGAGGTGTGGCATGGGATGCATAGCTGAATCAATCATTTAAGGTCACTGAATTAAAATTCGACTGGTTCCATGAGTTTGAAGATGAAGGACAGATTAATAAGCCTTCGATAATGTGGCATTTCATTGAGAAGATGAATCAAAGAACAGAACCGCCAAGTAAAACTAAAATCTTTAATAAACTAAAGTAATCAGGATAGTTAAGACCCGGAGTATTAGAAAATCACGTGTTAAGGGTCTGTTCCCGTGTATCAGTAGGTTAAAACTGACTTGAAGATTCATTTGTACTATTGAACAAGCATTACCAATTAAGACTTAGGGCAACCGATGAGCGCCAATAACCTATCAACTATGTAAGAAATTATGCACAAAGTACCTACCAATGTCATCCAAGATTGGTTCAATCAGTTTTTTGCATTTTCGTTAAGACTTCTATTCATGAACACTTTTTAATTAGAAATCTGCAAAAGAGGCAATGCCTCGTCTACTCCACAAATACGAATTCACATGTTGTACAAAATGCATTATTAGTATTTTTTTTCTTTTATCGTTTTGTTTTAATGGTTTATATATGACAGAGTTATGATTACAGTTCAATTATAATTATTTTTTCCATATTTTCTGAAAAGCTTTGGTCTCGGTTCAAGCCAAGCCAAGCCTGAACCAGAGCTTTGATCAATAATAATACACTCGCCCCATATTACTAATACAAGAAAGAGAAGTTACATGTTTAGAAGATGAGGGAGAATGTCATCAAATTCACGATTGGAAGGATCATAATCGCAGGCATTTTTGGCAAAGCCTTCCCTCAGTTGATCCTTGATCGCCTCCTCGCCAACAGCATCTTCACCATCAACACCCACCCCAGCAGCAGCACATATAAAAAGCAACACGCCCACAAAAACAGTTTGAAATAAACAAAAACTACTCAATCCACAGAAAAAGAAGGAACACAAAAAATCATAGACTGAAATAATATATAAAATTAAGGAGAAGATACGATAAATCATATACCTTTGGAGTACTTCTCCATGGTGGTGCGTTCAGATGTAGTAGTAGTAGTACGGTAGTTGGGGTATGAAAATCGGAAATTGTACTTGCGGTAGTACAGGAAGTGGTGGGTTCTTGAAATATTAGAAGAATGCATGGTGACGAGGAAGAATGCATAGTGCAAACTGCAAAGTGGAGAGATTCATGAGGCTACCTGGACGGCCACGTGGCAAGAGGTCATCCTTTTGCGAGATCCGGATCACCCGGTTCAGTTTCATCTTGAGAGCTTCGTACCCGGGAAAAGGAGCCGTTCATTTACAAAATTCTTCTCCAGTCTAACGGCCCGCTTGGCCACTGCTTGTTGAATTTTCTTCTGGCTGTTTGTGGTGCGAGTGATGCACCTGTGCAATGGCTAGCATCTGTGAGAACTTTCGTAAGTGATTTATAATTTTGGGGATATTTCTGATTCGCGATAGTAATAAGAGCAAAATCGACCTAATAATGGTCAGTACGGTATTCCTGACTAACTCATGATAGAGACAGAAGTCAAACTCACTCAAATTTAATTATAAAAAGAATTCTTTGTATTGAAAAAAAATGGCTAGGATCTCCACTTTCAAATTTGAAGCCGGTACGACTGGGCGTTTGATACAATTATATATAGTTGTTACACATTTTACATGATTTGATGCATATTTATATTTCTTTGTTCGTATACACTAATTTAATAAATGAATACAACCATAATTGTACATGTATGAGAGACGCCTTTTGGAAAAAGAACTATTACTGTACCAATTGTACAGCAGCCCAACTGTCCCAGTCCCCTACTTCCCGTGTTGAAGGAAGGCCGGGTACGCAGTCTAAGCCTCAACACTCGAGCATGCATTTATCTTCATGATCATTTCTTCAACAAGCCTCAATACTTTTTGCCAACACTCGAGCCGAATCCCAATTTTCTTCCTAGTAAACGATGGTCGTTACCCATCACCATTGGTTCGAATAACTCCTTCCTTCCACCCTCTCTCGTCTTTGGTTAGTTTCGAATCTTCGTAAATGGTGATTAGCAGCAAACGCAAAGGGTCAGTATTGATCAATATTGATACCGCTTACCTAATTCTAATTCAACCGAGTAGCTAAAAATTTGCATAGTATGGATCCATCAAACAGATTGGGATCCACCATGTATTCATCTGCATACACACCTCTTTTCCCCCACAGAAAACTCTTCCATGGTCCGTCTGTACATACATCATCAAAACACAAATTGAGAAACAAAAGACTTTACACCAAAAAAAAAAAAAAAAAAAAACATTTACATAGTAATTTTGCTGAGGAGGAAACAAGCTTCCTGGATAGCGGCAATTTCTTCCTTATCTCGCTACTTTTTTTTTTCAATCATTTCCATATCAATCAGAAAAATGAAGAAATTGTTACAAGAATACTACCATTAACGTCCAATTCCTGATATCTCCACCACCTCGAATTCCTGATTCCAGAACCAGAAATAGCTCATCTAAGTCGCAAGTTTACCGCTTCGGCTCATTTAACGTTTTTCCTTCGAAAAATTCATTAAGCATGTGGTCGAGATCCTCGGGTGTGTATCTGATATATTTCTGGGGATTTTTACCATTCTCAACCAAAGGCCTGTGACACATCAAAAGGCAAGCATATAACTTCAACAGAAGATAGGGTCAACATGAGAAAAAATTATTTCCAGGAAGTCCAATAATTAACATAACACTAACATTTGAGAACCAAGTCTAGTGTGTATTTTTGTTCTCAATCAAGGGGTTAATCAGCTTGACCAAAATGGCTCCTTAGAATACATGTCTATCTAGTTTTCCAAGTTTTTGACTTTTCATGGAAACAAAAAAAAAAAAAAAAAGACATTGTTCTCGAAAAATGTAGTTTGACATGAAAAGGAAGGCATTTCAAAGTGTGCATGCTTATAAATACTTGGAGGATCGTACCCAAAGCGTTTAAGGAAAGATCTGTATGCTGGCAGCAAAACTTCAGCAACAGCAAGTTTCAGAGAGTCCCGTAGCTCAGTATCAGGGACAGTCCACTGAGATTGTCTTTGATGAAGCTCCTCAAATTGAATATTAAAAGTCTTCAATCTAGAGAGAGAGAGAGAGAGAGAGAGAGTGATTTTAACACATAAGATCAGTTTGGTCAAACCATAAAAGTAAATATAACACTGATATGCCAGGGTCCGCAAATTGAACAAACCTATCTTTCACCATTGCTCTTGAAGCTCCACTACTATTTCCCCCATCAGCACTAACACCACTACCACCTGACGATGCCAGACCTTGTATGGAGAGGCATTGCAGAATCTATGGAGAGAAAAGAAATCAAATCATATTTACAAAAACAAGAGCTTACAGTGAATGTAAATTAAGCTTTGCCAAGCAACTTTTATCTCTTAATTAGCAGTTACTTCCACAATCAAGAAGTCATTTCATAATAATTATAGAACACGAAAATAATACAGTATCAGAACATGCAGGGGAAGTTCTGTATTCTTCTTTCTCCATTCATTTACAGTAATCATTTCTGGATGTATTCCAATGACAAATAATTGCAACTCAAGCAACACCTCAAGCACCAGTATACTGAATGAAATTAAATTACAAGTAATATAAAACATATCATTTGTAAAACATTGTTTTTGCATGCCCCAAGTTTATGAAGTTTTTAACCACATAATTCCAATTCTTGGAGTCTAAAAACATTCTAACTCTAGTTGACTCAACCCTGGAAGGACTCCTATCTACATGCACAATGAAGCGGATGTAAGATCATATCTAACTCAACAGAAAATTCATGAAAAGCACAAAGCCCAATTTATAGATCTAGACATTTGAAGACAAGGTAACGAATAAGGATGACTTCAACTGATGTGACAAGGAAGGTAAATCTGAATGGGTTCACAAACAATGCGGCTTGTAATAGCAGTAAAGAGGGTAAGGTAAAACCTTGGCCCAAGCAATCCTCTTATACTGATTTGCATGTTGCTGCACAATTCTCCTGTGTCTTTGCACCCAATCATCCCCCAACAGGTCTTTGGCTTCAGACCTAGAAGCAAGAAAAATATAAGCACCAACTTGTAACTATATAAGATCACAATCCAATGCTCCAAACCCTAAACGTAACAAAGAAATGCACAAGAACAAACCTGCGGACAGATCTGACCATGTAGTGAATGTTGTTCATAAGAAACAAGTTACTAAGAGCAGGATCTTTATATTGCTTAGATTTCCCATCCAAATTGGTTTGTAAAGCCTGCATTATGTGCATTGTTACAGCAGCTAATTGAGAATCTGACCCATCTCCATTTTCAAATTCTTGAAAGAGCTGCTTCAATGTTGATTGGTAGCTGAAAGAATCAATTTCACGAAGTCAGATAAATTAGATCAACAAAGTCCTATACAGATGAAAAACATGCAGACTTCTCCCACGTTAAGAAGGAAACATTTACTGGCAAACTACCTATATCAGTGCTCTGCCTGGCATTTAATTACATACCCTTTTTAAATTGCTAAGCTTTTAATCAATCAAATCCTAAAAGCATTTAAAAGAAATCTTCCAGAAAATTGACCTTTATATACAGCAAGAATTTTCCTCAGCATGTTTTCACATGCATTTGCCCTCAAAAATTCCTTGTGTGTACAAGACGAATTAATGTTTTTGAAACATGGTGGAAATTAGGTCACCTACACACCTTCCAATGCAAAGCATGACACGTTACAAACTCAAACTACAAATGACCCCATTTTTGTCTCTTCATGAGTAATTGCAGAAAATAGTTTGCCAAAATGAGGTTTCATACTTGACAAGAGTCTTCTAGAAAAAGATTAATTGCAACCAATAACATGTTCTCTCCAAAAAGGCTGATTAAATGCAAATAGCTTTATAATTGACTAACTGAAAATGCAGACTATTAATTCTGTGTATAAAGTTTGTAAGCAACCAGTTAGTGCACATGAAGCCACATACAAAAAGAACAGAACAGAAAAAAAAAAAAGCAGAATTCACTTACTCAAATAGGAACTTCACATAGTTAATCACATAGCTGGTCAAAGGATGGACAGTTCCATCTGCAACCGCAGTTTTGGTTGCATCTTTTTCAACTGCTTCTTCAAAATCACTGAAGGTCTCTTGTGCAGTCTGGGCAAGGCGCTTTGTCAACCCCAAAGCAGATTCTCTAATATCATTGCAAGCTTTACCTCTGAAAAGAGTTTCAATCTGACAATTCGAAAGCAGATTTTTAGTCATAAGAACTAACTCTACCACCATACCACCATAAAAAGTTGAGTTTGATGCAAATACAAGATATTTTGTGGGCATAAAAGCCAAAGCACAGCCAAAAAAGAGGAATACCTAGCAAACCAGAATGCAGAGTGAAATGCCAAGCGAAATGTGATTTCATTGAAGTTTGTAATCCATACCTCAGAGTGCAGTTCTCGCATGATTTCATACATATCCAGCAGCACAAATAATTTTTCAGGAGATCTTTTACTTTTGGCAATCGCATCACCAAAACTAAGGAGAACTGCAACACTCCCAGCTGTCACTTCAGCAAAACACTGGTCCTTGAGGGACTCAAAGCCTTCAAATATTTGGTCACAAACTTTCCTTTCCCCAGCAAATAGCAGTTTGACCTGTTCAAGCATAATTAGCTCATATACAGAATCCCAGATTACGTTCAAGACAGCTAAGAGAACCTACAGCAATCCGCATAAAATGAATCCAGTTCCCAATCTTGGCTTCCAAAACTTCCCACTGCATCTTCTGAACATCCTCTTTACTAAGTTTCTCCACTCCCAATTTTCGAAGACTTTCTTCCAAAACTGAAGAACGAGTATCCCTGCATGGAAATATGAACACCATCAAGACAAGGAACGCAATAATGTTACTCTGACAAATGCACAGACTGACACATGGAACGAGGTAAATCGATCTATAGTCACATTTCCATACCTTTGCATATACAGGGCACAATTTGACCACTGGAAAGTTACTAAAAGTAACGGATACAACACAAGACAGATGATTCTAAATATATATACGTGTTTGAAATGCAGATATTGTAAAATCACAATACTTTAAACCCCAACCCTGTGTGGAATTAATACAAGGATAAAGTCCAGGCACGTTCCACCTAGCACAAAGCATACTACTATAATAAAGTTTAACTCTTTCCTGATCCCTATGAAACACGCCAAGATTTATGGTGTCAGGAAAACCAGATTGTAGATTCATACTATTAAATGCATACTCCCAGCATGGAAGACGGATTAGAACTTTAAATTCTTTCCTTAAATATAATCCACTAAAATTGACAAAAGCCTAATATCTCCTGACCTGACATGCAGAAAAGGAAAACAAAAAAGCCATAGAGAGACTTGACCACTTATCATTTCATCCCT